CATGAATAATTCAAGTTCGAACTTTATTATTATTCAATAGAACAGTACTAAAAAGTATCGTGATAGAAACATAACAATATAAAATCATTCATATCACAATAAGGTTAACTACTAGTACCTGATCAAAATTTTAAATTACGTATTTAATTCGTTGTAACAATTTTAATTAAGAAAATTTAACTCGATATTCTTTTGTGTAAAAATATAATAGATTCATTGAAATTTACCTTTAACTTAATCACAGTCGCCGTAATGGTACTCTGATAAGTTAAGTTTTTGATTCTATTAAATTAAATATTATAAGTTGATCATCGTTAATTTGTAATATACTTACAAAGTTTTGAATTTTACGTTTTTTGTTAAAATTTAAACTCGGAAATTGTTCTTAAAAAAAGGCTTAACAAGTGAAACACGTCTCCTGGGTGTATGTTACTTTTAACGGATTTATAGGATTAGTGGCCTGGTGTTTTATAGGATTAGTGGCCTGGTGTATGCTTCTACAGTTTCCACCTCTCTCAGCTGCAGAACTCTTAGCTGTTGGGGTTTGGCAGCTGCTGAAATTGTTAGGTTGAGTTATTGGTGACCGCCTTCGTTCCACGTTCTCTTTGAAAAATTTTGCCGTACTCTCTTTACTTTCCAATAAATTGTGTGTGTATACATACATGTATATATATACAGATATATACGTGTATATTTACAATCAGTGCATCTGACAGACTGTCTGCACATTTCTTAACGTCTCAAAACCACAATACGTATATATTATATATACAGACACAAGTTCAAATGACCAAACAAAAGCTATGATGAGAATATATTTTTAATTTCTTCATTGTTTGGTTAACTTCAATTTCCAACTGAAATTAAACCTCATGTTAGATAACCCATAAGATCTGACCTTTTGACTTTCTTCATATATTATATTATATATATATATAAGCTGGTCAACATTTTACATGGGTAATATAAAAACGACTTTTGCAGCTTGACTTTTGTCAATATTATATAACATTCATTTTCAAAAAAAAAAAAAAAAAGACAAAAACAAATATATCTGACAAGAAAAAAACAAAGAGCAGGATGGTTCAACAGTATTTCACCAAGAAATTATGGAGATTAATTTTAAGTTAATTACTATTAATAATAATTAATGAAATAATTAAGTGGGTAGGTAAGAGGAATGTAATGGATTTTATGTAAATTAATTCTGGAAGAATCTAAAGGGGGGAAAAAAAAAAAGTGCATGGTGATGTTCATGATGAGTTATGATCGAGTTAACGTGAATCATGCAGTTCTCGTTAATGGGTTGGTGAAGTTATAATCATTTGATATGTATGCATGTAACGTTTTACATGATTATATACAATACATTCATCACAAACGTATATATTCATTTATATATATGTGTGTGTGTGTGTGTGTGTGTGTGTGTATATGGTTGTTTTGTATTATATTGGCCGGGAATTTTCCTCATTAATGGTTTGGTAAGTTTTAATCATTTGATATGTATGCATGTAACGTTTTACATGATTATATACAATATATTCATCCCAAGTATATATATTCATTTATATATATGTACATATATATGTATATATATGGTTGTTTTGCATTATGTTGGCCAGGGAAATTTCCTTATTAATCGAAAATTAATGAAATTTGTTTATTGAAATACATGATGGTATGTATGTATGCACATAAGGAATTCCTAATTTTAAGTTATTAAAATATATTAAAAATAAAAAAAAAATTAAACTTTGAACAAATAAAAAATAATAAAAATTATATTAAATATAACGACCCGAAACTTGTAAAGAAGTAAATTATAAATTAAGTGCATAAGAGAAATAATAACGTTAATATTTACATTCCTCACACAATAATTCGGAATACCCAATAGGATTACGGGAATAACTCTTCTAAAGGAACAACTAATTATCAAATAAATAAACAAAATGTAAACAAACTGAACGTCCTACTCGCAATTCTCTTGTGGATCGGGATCTGGATCTTGGTACTCTTAATCTGAAATGGTTAATGAAAGAGTGAGCTACACTAACTCAGCAAGAATGTCATACTACTCACCGATACAGAAATAAAGATTGGTAAAAATTATAAAAACGACTAATGGAACTCTTAATTTAAGTAAGTTCATTTATCATAAATAAAATCATTTATTGTACATTTACCGTATCGAAATTTTCAAAATTGACCTATGAAGGCGATAATGTAACAATATCATAATCTCATATTCAATTAATCAAAACAACAACTTTCCATTTTAACCAACCTAGTGATATCTATGGAAGTCCATAGGGATGTCCTCATTACGCGTGAATCCTTATTCAACTTTTTCAATGAACTAGCCGTCCATATACTCTGTCCGTTATGAGTACCAAAATATCATCCATCAATATCTCGTCTGGTATGAAGGTGAAACGAGTCGTCCTCATACTTTGTCCGGTATGAGCACCAAAGTACTAATCCTCCGTACTCCGCCCGGTATGAGGCAACGTTCACGTTAGAGTTCCCTATGTACTCGATCCGCCACCATCTCATAAAATATCAAATAAGGCTATCATTCATTCAGTCAGTCAATCAAATAATTTTTCGTTTACATTTAATTTTTCAGTTTTCTAATTTAATTGTGAACCATACAAAACAAGCAATACATGTATTAAGGAACACAAACGAATTCTCATACCAATTCTAATATATTATTATGCATTCGAAACTGTAAAATCAATCAATCAATTAAAACATAATAAATAGTAATAAATAATCAGTTTAGTCTCCATTAGTAACTTTTAATTATCGATATTTCTAAATCACGCAAAATACTGTATTATTTATAATTAGATTTCAATTCCATAACAGAAAATAATGTGAGAGATTTTTACTCAAATTAATGTTCGAGATGCTAAACTTTCAGTTGCGCCTACTGGTGGTCCCCAGGATTCTTGAATTTTCCTTCGAGAATTAAAACACATATCAAGTACTTAGAAATACTCCAAAAAACCCAAATCAATGTTAGAAACTCCTTTTAGCCAATTCTGAAATTCCGGCACGACAGCTTCGTCATGCTCCGGCGACGGCACCACTGCCCACAACGGCTGTTTGCCTCAACTTGATCGTTTTCGGCCTGTTTTGTACCCATCTCTGCGAAAAAATATGTTCAGGGGTTTCGGTTGGCCGAGAAAAAGTCAAAAAACTGAAGTTTACTAGCGGCAGAGTTTTCCAGTGCGGTAGTTTCGCCAGCTCACCTTCACGGTTGGGTGTTTTGTTTCTGTCAACCTATAGAAAAAGGAATAGTGATTATAATTATGAAAAAATTATACGAAACGAAAATTAGAAAGGGTCTCATCTAAGGTAATTTTTGTTTTTTCCTGCGGCGGTGCTGTTGAGCTTTATCCGCGGTTTCCGGCGAAATCCTCCAGTCTTTTTGCTTTGAATTAACCATGGGGGTGTTTGAAATTGAATTTCGAGCGAATTAAAAAAATTGTACCTCTTTTGGCAATTGGAAGCTATATTTAGAACCTAAATTTTCACTCATCTTTTTTTAAATTATTTTCAATTTCATTTTTCACCTATTTTTTCCTAATTTTACATTAAATAATAATAAATTTTGAATATAACAAATTAATTTCGGGTATTACATTAAAAAATATTATAAATAAAATTGTAACAAGTATAATTTGTCTTAAATATTATATCATATTTAAATATATTTTCACTTTAAAAATATATATCAAAAATAAGAAAAAAAAAATTAAACATTTAGATAAATACAAAACAATAAGAATCATATTTTAAAAAAATGATGAATAAAATTTGAATAAATATTAAATTTTAAGAACTAATTTAATAATTTATCTTAAATATTATATTATCCGAATATTTTTTTATCACATAAATAAAAATTATTTTCAAAATATAATCTTTAATGTTAGTTTTTTTTAAAAAATTATTTCTTTTTCAAATGAATTTATTTAATCTATTTATTATTGAAATAAATTGATTTTTTTAACACTTAATCATCATGAGGAAGCATGATGGTGAAGTGTTTACACTGTGGAGGTAAAAATTAAATAAAATAAAACTGGTTAAAATTTAAAACATAATAATATTAATTCACTTTATAATTATGTCACTCATAATTATTTATTTTTATTAATTAATTAATATTTTTCTTTTAATTTATTTTGATTTTTTTATTTACTTTAAACCTTTTATTTTATATTAAAATATTTTTTAAATATTTATACATAATTTCAATTTTTTATTAAAAATAAAAATAAGTTAAATATTAAAAATTAAATGATAATAAATTTTTCAGAGATTAATTTCATAATCTGATCAGAATTAAAAGAAGAACAGGACTTTGAAGTCTACAAAAGCTTGACGTCTGCCTCGTAAATTCAGTGTCTCCTTCAAAGCCCTGTTTACTGTTTCAGTGTGAGTCTAAAATGGAAGAAAACAGCAAGACCGTGTCTGTGACGCAGAAGAAGAAGGTGCATCTCTTCTATTGCTTGGACTGCGAAGAGCTCGCTCGGAAAATCGCCGCTCAATCCGACCTCATCACTCTTCAATCTATCAACTGGAGGTCCCTCTACCCTTTCTTTATCTCCATAACTTTATTCAAACCCATGGATTCTTCTGTTTGCTTCTTTACTTCCTTTCTCACCCCTGTTTTACTTTTCATTTTCATCCTTTCTACTAATTTTTTTATTTTCATTATGTGGTCTTGCTTTTTTTTTCTTTGTTTTTGTAAGAACATGTATTGTGCGCATTCGTTTTCTGGGTATGATGTGGAAATCAAGCATCTGTGACTGCATAGAAATCTGGTTGGTGGGTTTGAGTCAAAACGAAATTTTTCTTTGGTATTTAAAATAAAGATGGGAGCTTTATTCTTATAATTTCTGTTTTTTCTTCTTTAGGTATAAGGACTGAGCATATTAGTTTGCTTGTGGAATGCTGAATTGCTCAGCATCTTGATGAAAAATTTCATCAAGCCATTGTTCTATCCTGTTTATGCTTTGTTTTTTCATAATAGCAGTATGGGTCATGCAGTTTATGCTTAATTACACTATGATGATCCGGTTTTATATATATTTTTGGTTAAATTTATGTCAGAAGATGATATCATAGAATCCCTAACATTTATTTTCTCTTAGTTGATTACATGGCGATAGCTTTCCACTATTGGGAACTTGTATAATGCAATTGTCTATGCTCAGAGGAAGTTATCTCAGTTCTAGTGATATTTTCTCCTGATGAAGTCGTTATGCTTGCCCTGAAATCAGCTTTCTAACTAATTTGAAATGTAAATCAAATTAGAAATTAACAACCCTGATGAGGAAGTTGACTACAAAATTTTCTTGTTGCACCAGTTTTAGAAAATGAGCAGTTTTGAATCTTTTTTTTTTTTAGTTTTTCAATACCGGAAACTGAAGAGAGGTTTTTGCAGTTGTGTGCAAGTTTTTATTGTTGGGTACACATTGCATATAATGCATATTCTACTTTGGGAATTTTGGAGATTCATTGGAAACCCCGAAGGGCAATCCCGATGACAAGGCAGAGAACGATTAACGTGTGTGTGTTTTGTAAGTCCACTCTCAATCTATGAATTATAATGGGATTGGAGTGCTAACCGTGATATAGGTAAATTTGAAGTGTATAAATATGGAGGAGAGAGGTTGTTTGTGATGTAGGCAGATTTTGTGGTTATGAGAATAACTATGATAAAAGTGGTGCCGGGTTTTGGCTGAGACTAAATGACATACATGGTTTTGTACAGACACGATGTTTCTGTTTGTGAAGTTCCTTGTTCATGTTACTGGTGAAGGAAATCTCCTAAATGAAAATGTTTGTTATTGTCTTTTTGTTTTTCTAGTAAGACAATTCATGTGATTTTTTTTGCTGTCACTTTCATTTGTAAGGTTATTTTTAAGTGAAATTAATAATCTTTTAAGCTATTATTTTCTAATTTTTTACTTATTCAATCTCAAATATGCATAAAGTTATAGATATCCAATTATATATGAACTCACAAGGGGTTGGATTTGCAATTGAAATAAAGTTAAAAAGGTGAAAGTGTAATTTGATTATGGCTGTGCTGTTATTTGGTTTTCCGTCCTATCCTATCAAATAAGTACATAAATTATTATATTAACAATCAGTTAGAAAGTCAGTAAATAAATAAATCATCCAAGCATTTAAATTGTCTCAAGTGTAGAAATGATAAGTTCTTTGTGTGTCAGGAATTTTGCTGATGGATTCCCAAACCTCTATATAAACAATGCACATGATATCAGAGGTCAACATGTTGCTTTTCTTGCATCCTTCAGCTCGCCAGCAGTTATCTTTGAACAGATATCTGTCATATATTTACTACCTCGGCTCTTTGTTGCTTCCTTCACTTTGGTGTTGCCTTTCTTTCCCACTGGCTCCTTTGAGCGAATGGAAGAAGAGGGGGATGTAGCAACTGCTTTTACCATGGCAAGGATTTTGTCAAATATTCCAATATCAAGGGGTGGCCCAACTAGTTTAGTTATCTATGATATACATGCTCTACAGGTTTTTACTTACTCCTGGAGCCGCTACTATCTTCTCGTTTCATGATGGTTATTTCCTGACATTTTCCGGAACATGAGAATTTGATATGAATCTTATATGCATGATGCTTTGTGCACACCTAACCAGTGTCTCTGCTGAACTATGTAAATCTTACTTTGTATGATTGTGGGCGTGATTGGGATTAATTTTTACAACAGTTGTCAACAATCTACTCCTTGATATAATTATGGGTGGTATTACTTAAAGGTAGAAAAAGTTCTTACTTTTTGTCCGTTGATCATTTTTGTGGACTTTTATAATGTTTGCTTTACTCGTTACTCATTTGTTAATGGTTTTTTTTTTTATCCTCATGCAGGAAAGATTTTACTTCGGTGATCATGTTTTGCCTTTGTTTGAGACTGGAATTCCTCTTTTAAAGAAACGACTACAACAGCTTGCTGATGCTAACAATGTCAGTGAACAGCATTACTATATCCTATCTCCGTAAAAATGTTCTTGTTTCGGTGATCGTTAGTTGGGTTATCATTATTTCCTTCATGATAATATATTAATTGTATTATGAGGTTCTGTAGGTATGTACTCTCTTTGTCCGTTACTTATTTCCTTCAATTATATGAAATTTCATCCCCCAGATAGTAGTTGCTTTTCCGGATGATGGAGCTTGGAAGCGTTTCCACAAACTGCTGGATGAGTTTCCTGTGGTTCGTTTGAGTTTTCCTTTGAATGAACAAAATATATCAGTGTGGTCACCTTTTGTCATACTGGGTACTATGTAAATGGCAGGTGGTGTGCACCAAGGTTCGTGAAGATGACAAGAGAATAGTTCGGCTCAAGGAGGGAAATCCAGCTGGTTATCATGTAGTCATTGTTGATGATTTAGTACAATCTGGAGGTACTCTTATTGAATGCCAGGTATAAGCTCCAAATGATCTTCCTTGCTATTTACTTGTTAAAACATTGTATATATTGCGGGCTATTGAGAAGTTTGAAAAGCCATGTATGATTCCACCATGGTTCAGAGATTATTATTGCGAGGTGCTTGCCTTTTTTTAAGATTCTGATGATTGAACTCAATTACAAGAAGGGTCACTTTTTCTGGGTCTTGATAATTCTTAACCTTTTGAATAAGGCAAAAGAATTTGGACTAACATGTGATTTTCCAAATGCCATGGTGATTTCTTGTTTTCTATGGTTTAGTGCTGTTAATATTCTCGGTGAACTATCTATACACCAGATGTTTTCGGATTATTTTCAAAATCATCCTAATATTCCAATAGTGGCCCCCCTTCGTCATTCTTTATTTGCTATGGTTTTACTAGATGTGAGATTGTAATTTGCTGGAAGTCATCTTCCAGATCATTGTTGTGATTATTAGTTAGTTAACTGACAACTTTTTTTTTGGCATAAATAAGGAGCATACGACCTGGTTATGTACTTTTTAAGAAATTGTTTAAATCTGCTATTTTGGCTTTGATGTACAGAAAGTTCTGGCAGCTCATGGTGCTGTGAAAGTGAGTGCTTATGTCACTCACGGTGTTTTTCCTAAGCACTCATGGGAGCGGTTTATGCACCAGAATAATGGTAAGCAGTCGGTTGTTATAGTCTATACAAACCATTGACCTGGCTTTGTGATGGATTGTTGTAATCTATACGAACCACTGACACTTGGCCGACTACAATTATTTTTCTTCTTCTTAATTCAACGATCTGATTGAGATGTGATCGGATTTTCAGAAGGCTCGGAAAAGGCATTTGAATACTTCTGGATAACTGATTCTTGTCCACAAACTGTGAAGGCGATAGGAAATAGAGCTCCTTTTGAAGTATTGAGCCTTGCAGGATCAATTGCAGAAGCTCTGCAGATTTGATTGAAGGGCTGGCTCAGAAAATGCTAATAATAATCTCTTCAGCTAATTGTGTAATAATTTTACGACTCAAATTTTCACCATTGTACTATGCATGAATATGCACGGATTGTTCACTTGTTCAAGAGAAGTGAAAGGATCGCTTGGTTAGATTGTTGCTGACAGTCTATTAAATTGTTCAAGAAAGAGGTAAATTTGGAGGGTAATGTTACGAACTTGATGTATGGTTTGGATTTATGATGTATGTGTTTCGAATTTAAGAAAAAAGAAAGAGAGAAAAAGAGTTAGAAGGCCGAGAGAATAGAAGCAGAGAAAGAAATCGAGATAAAAAGAAATTTTCAAGAGGAAGAGGATAGAAAATTTGAGATTAATCTTCAAGAAAAACCCTTTATGATAAGTTTATAAATGCAGAATTTGAGTATGAAAACTTATGCATGAATATTTCAATCGAATCGCCCTATGTTGCTATGGAACGTCGTGGAAATTGTCGGAAATACTCTTCTAGATCGCTGTCCTTGTGTCCAAAGTTGAGAAATCGATGGTCAGAATCTGTCATTTTTTTGATCTTTTGTTCTTCATTCATCCAACACTAACCTTAATTTTGTTATAATGAAAGACAAAACCATTTTTATACAACTTTTACCATAATTTACCCTTTCCTTGCAGGCAAATGGTGGTAGGTAGGATTATTAATTGAATATATCTTAAATGGGTATCATACACACATATATATATATATATATATGTCTGTATGATAGAGCTCATGGGTTATTCTCTTTGCTTGTTTCCCCATTCTTCACATTCATATATATGTATGTATATACCATCCCACAACAAATAATATCTTTCATTTACCTCTTAAGAAGAAACCCAGATCACATTCTTTGTAAGTCTGACCATAGCTTTGAAATTGCAGGAAAGGAGGCAACTTGAGACAACTTAAATGCTTGGATGATTTATTCATTTATGACTTTCTGACAGATTGTCAATATAATAATATATGTATTTATTCGATAAGATAGGATGGAGAACCAAATGACAGCACAGCCATAATTATATATAACTGGATATCTATACTTTTATGCATACTTAAGAATTGAAAAAGGTCAAAAAAAAAACCTTACAAATGAAAGTGGCAGGAAAAAAAAACCACACGAAATATCTTAACTAGAAAATCAAAAAGACAATGACAAATATTTTCATTAAGGAGATTTTCCTTCACCAGTAACATGAATAAGGAACTTCACAAACAGAAACAGTGTATCTGTACAAGACCATGTATGTCATTTAGTCCCAGCCAAAACCCGGCACCATTTTTATCATAGTTATTCTCATAACCACAAAATCTACCTACAACACAAACAACCTCTCTCCTCCACATTTATACACTTCAAATTTACCTATATCACGGTTAGAACTCCAATCCCATTATAATTCAAAGATTGAGAGTGGACTTACAAAACGCACACACGTTAATCGTTCTCTGCCCGGTCATCGGGATTGCCCTTCGGGCTCTCCAATGAATCTCCACAGTACGACCCATCTGGTTGTCGAATGCATATGTTCAAATTTCCCGATAGCAAATGTTCCTGCAGTGTCACAAGTACACAAAGTTCAACTCTTGCTTTTTACACTTTAGTCAAGTAGTTTAGGGGTGTGACAGAAGACCAAGCTTTCCATAGATTTTAGAGGCCATTTTCTTCTCTTTGAAATCTCGTCAAAACAGTCTCCATTTGCCGAGCACAAACACACAACTACTTGGCTCACAATAAGAAGAGCCATTACCAGAATTAACTAAAAAATGTTACCTGATCACCAGCCCCTTCACCTTCTGAATGAAAGAGGATAGGCCGGCATCTCTTGTCCTCATTCATCAGGCTTGAATTCTGGAAGTGAGTCACAAGAGCTGCCTTCCCCTGGATCCGTGCATATGCCAATGACGCAACTTTCTCACTATTGAATTTCTCCCATTTTTTTCCATTAAAAGCCTGTACATTTTTCCATAATTGAGTTTGAAGAAAGCATATAGGTTTAATCACTCTGATATTGGAAAATGGTGCCAAAAAATCATGTCCAAGAGAGTGAAGACTCACATAAAAACCAATGATCCACAATAAGAAAATATGTAAGACCAACAAGCAACTTATTTTGTTTTTGTTGTATATAAGATTTTACAAGGAACTCTAGCCTGTAGTAGCTCCAACTGTTTGAGATGAGAAAAGTTACAGCACCTGGTAAAAGGAAATGATGTGCGATGGAGACACCATGTTGATAAAAGCATAACCCACATTGCACTTATTCTGCAACCAGATAAGCCTAACAATCAGCAGCAACTCAACTTGAAGAAGAAACAAAACCATCAGTCATTTCCAGTTTCCAAGTACCTTAAAATCAATAGGCAAGTAGAGAAAATCATAAGCACCACAGTGATTTTCATCAATAGCAGCCAGCAGCATCTTTGAAGTGTACCTTGAAAAACAGAACATAGAAAAGAAGTCAAGCTCCTCTCTCCTAACTACATAGTGTCACAATAGTTTTACATTTCATCAATAAATTATTCATACTTATTAGGGATGTTTTTAATTCATTAATGTAGTCCTAGTATCTTCACCACTAATGATTTTTTCCAAATCAAGCTGATATTGCTTCTTGCTGTCAATCTGATTACTGCTATTCTCGACCCGCCGAGTCCGACCACGTTCCATGAATCCTTCATTGCTGGATGTTCCTGGTCCTGGATAAGAACCATTTGCAGGGAACATAGTACCATGTCTTGGCACTGACATCATTCTAAAACTAGGGGAACCATTTTCAGCCACATTTCCTGGAAGACTGATGCCGGAACTTATAGCAGCATGATGACCAATATTCATCATATAACTTCCATTGTTACGATTTAGGCTCATCCCCCCAAATCCAACAGGGCTCATGAAGGAAGTATCTGGCGACTCCGGGAAGTAGCCAAAACGTCGATCAAGAGGAATACCAGAGGGAGCCGATCCAACATGATGTGTACCAAGGAAAGAACCTTGCCGACTGGAATATGGAAAACCTTGTCTTCCAGACGAAAATGAGTGCCCCACAGATGATGTTGGCCATGCAGAACTGGCACGCTCATTATAAGGAGTGGGACTTCCCCAGAGAAACTGAGGGCCAGATAATGTTCCAATTCCTGATGACTTAGAATTCGATTCAGCAAAAGCAGACATGGGCCCGGAGCCAGCATTTAATTTTTGCTCATTAAAAGTGAGAGATGGCTGATATGCTGCACCAAGCATTGATCCGCTGTTAACAAGTATGTCACTAGCATGGCTAGTCCGTCCTTGATCCTTGCCAATAGGTGCGATTTTTGGAGAACTAGATAGATGAGATGGAAGAATTGAAGCTAACCCAGGCAAACTATTGCTGCTTACAGGGCTCAAAGTTCCTTGACCAGGAGAGTGCTAAAAGCATGCAAAGGATTATGTTCAACCGGACTACCAAAGTGCGCCCAGCTTCCTGCCATCAGGATGCCACAAATTCAGCCAATAACCAAATTGTCCAACAGAAATGCACAATAACATAGGAGAAAAAGATTGCTGAGCTCGTAAAGACAAAAAAGCAGTTAATGCTTACCGGGTGGAGAGTTGGCCACTGGTGAACCTACTTGATGCCTGAAACCTTGAGCTTCATCTCGTTCCAACTCTTGACTTAATTGTTGCATTAAGCTAAATGTAAAAGCAGATTGATCTGTTAACTACTATAAAATGATGCATGCAGCAAAAAGGCTTAAGTATAGAATATAAACATGATATCAGAATAAATCACTAGAATACATGCCAAGCAAATAGAGAGGCATCAAAAACTGCAGAGCTACAAGATATCAGAATCTTCATTGAACATTCACCAGAGATCCTTGCTGCAACAAATTTTCTTTGCATGAAAGTATTATAACAGCATTAAGCTTAAAAAGTGCTTTTCACAACAATTTGGTAATGTAAAGGACCAAGAAATTATTACAATCCTTGGTAAAAGCAAGTTTCAGGAAATAATTCCAAGCAGCAGCAGTTTCAAATCTATTCAGGGAAACCCATCACAGAAATATGTGAATTGTATAAAGTCATCATTAAAATTGAGGTCACTGTTTCAGGATCAGTTACATATTGGTGATAGATATTACTTGTACCTCATCTTGAATATTGTTTTTAGTGAGAATTCTGCAGCTTCTTTTCAAGTTAAAAAGAAAAATATATGTTATATAGTCCCACCATACTCCTCTTGCTTAATGGCAATAACAAACATCCCCCAATTTTTACTCACTACCTTAGGAGGGCAGAAAGACACGAAGGCAATCAATAAGTTACTTTTGTGAAGGAAGATATGCAGAATGATGAAGAAGGATGTGATTTTATTTTATTTTTGGTTGACAGGATAGAAGAACAAGGAGGATTTAAAAAAAAGACAGAGGGAGAAGAGAGAGGGCCTTGGTTAACACTCTTTCCTTAGATAAACTTTTCACCAACTATTTTACATTTGGACAGACTTTGAGGTCGGTCCACAGGAAAGAACATGCTCTCTTTTTTCTTTTACTTCCCGTAGCTTTTGAAGTAAAGAGAAGCATCAATGCTAATATTGCAACCTTTTTAACCATTCTCACTTCCAAATTTCTTATATAACCAAGTATGTACAATGCTATAAGATTTATCGAAAAAGTAGCTATAAATAATTCAGGAAAAAAGGGATCTCCAACTTTTTATTTCAATAAAAAAAAAAAACTCCAAAATTTTTCATTCAAGTAGGAGTTCATAATATATATATATATATATGGAATATTTTTAATTTAATAAAGTTAAAAATTCACATCGTCATTCCGCCAAGAAAAAGGTATTTGCTAAATAAAACATTATCTTAAACTCGCATGATAAAACATGACACCAAATGAATACTCTTATGGGCTCCATCACTGTGGCATTTGTTAAATGCATTTGGGAAACAAATTATTTTACTACTATAGGAAGGAGAAGACCTCTAACAACAACTAGTGTCTAAGCAAAGTTTTTCTAAATAATAGAGGTAGAGGCACCAAATCAATACTTACTTTCGACGGGCTCCTCCAGGTCGGCTGGGTTCAAGCTTTATACGTTTCCCAGCTATGTCACTTCTATTTAATGCTCTTAAAGCTGCCTCTGCAGCTCTAACATCGTAGAATTCTATGAACTTATGGTGTCGTTTGTGTGGCGTTTCTCGAATCTGCATTTGTTTACACAGAAAATTCACAACTGGTAGACATACAAGCACAACTGAAGGGAGCATATAAGGTAAGTGTCTAGAAAAATTATACCTCCTTGACCTCTCCATAAGCACCAAATATCTGACGGAGGTCATCATTTGATACTGATGGATCCAAATTAAAAACTACAAGAGTTCCTTGATTTATATCCTTTTCTGATGGGTTATCCTGGTGAGCAGTAAGGAACAATGCTTGAAAAACATGTCGATGGAAAAAAAAATTGTCAATTAAAGAATAGAAACTTTTAGTTCATACCTTGGGAATTGAAAAATGAATGTCCAACTTCCTTCGTCTTAAGGGCTTATTCTGCAATGCACGCATTGCAGTGCGGGCAGCTCGAATGTCATAGTAAGATATCATCACAAAGCCTCTATGTTTACATGCAGTGTATAAAGTTCTGATGTCTCCATATTGCTACAAGAAAATGCAGCCACTCACATAAACAAGGCTTGAGACTATAAAAATAAAAATGAAAGAGATATTTGAAGATCAAAAAATAAGAAGATGAATAAGAAAAGACCACCAAGCCCAAATTATTATGCAATTCATTGAAGATCTAAACACAGTATCAATTTGGCATGTTATATGGACCATAACACTATAAAATAGACATTTATTTCAAAAAAAAAAAAACACTATAAAACAGACATGCTAAGCTGCATTTGGTGCAAAAAAGCATTACTTAGTTGTCGTTTCCTATATTAAATATGTTTAAAGGTAGAAGTTTGATAGTTGAAATGAACAACAGTTCGAAAATGAATGTAAAAAAAAAAATAATTTGATCGAAAATATTCAAAAGTTTAATTTATTGTTTTCTAAGAAACTGCTCTCTATAAGTTTGAAGAACCATAGATACACATAATGATATGCAAATTTTCTTGCATAAACTTATATGGATTAGGAAATAGAAACTAAAAAATATTTCATATACTGAATAGAAAATTAGTTTCTCAATTTAATTACTTTTTCCAATTAAAATCATCAGTACAACTCATATTTTCCCACTTTTTGGTAGAGTATGCGCAGAGGATAGCCAAAAGATGCAATAATATTTTCATAAACCTCTTTTCTCTCCCTCCCTCGCTCTAATTTATCTCATGAGATAGACCCCTCTGATACTATTCACCTTGGCGAGTACTTTTTCCAGATTGGACAGTCACGATTATATATCAACTTCCGTCAAGGCCAACTAAATTACTAAAATATAATATTTTATTTCCAGATAAAAAAAAAGTAATCAGCAAACATACAGAAGAAAATGTCTAATGTATGATTCAGCATTGTAACAAAAGTTGCTTAACACCATCTGGCCTACTAATATATGCCTATTTGAGGAACTTGATTAATGTGCACCAGCAGCACACAACATATATTATCCAAGAAATGCGATTCAGTTCCTATACGAACCTCTAAATACTAAGTAATGACACGCACATAAAGGAACTAAAAACTAGAAATGTATTGATTTACATGTAAAGATGCCCGAAAGCAGCTGAATATCTAATCTTTCTCCCCACTCTCCATCAGTTTTAGTAAAATAATACAAGCCAGATTCCTCGGAAAAATTTTCAATGAGAATGTACTTGTTGTTAATCCAGTTCTCAACACGGGAATTTCATGAGAACGGGGAATCAGTGATGTCAGACCAGATTCAGTATTTATCCCTCAATATCACATTGACATTCTCAAAATAAAGTGTGAGTTTGGATTTCTATGTTAAAAGAATCCCAAAGCTACTGAAAGGTCACTAACAACAGAAGGCATTAAATAGAAACTAACAACTAAAACGAGATATATCAGGAAAAGAGAAAACACCTCAAATAGAGATCTCAATTCAGAATCTTCCACATTACTATTGATATTCCGGACAAATAAAGTCCTCGAGGGATGTTCTCCGAAAGGATGCTCTCCTATAACTGTTCCAACGCCATTGGAAAGGGCATAATGACCAATTCCATTTGCAGCGACCCCATCAGACATGCTAATCTTTGGTATACCAACGCTAAGTCCCTCTTTGGGTTCAAAGTCCATTTCCATTCCTCCTCCACTTCCAAAGAGATCATAATCTTCCAAATCCTCCAGCTGATTAGGTAACCCACTTAAGTCAAAATCGTCCATTAGTCCAGCAAGAAGCTCATCTTCATCATCAGGAAGTAAGTTCCAGATTGCATTTGGTTCAACACCTTCAAGTGGATCCTTCTCTTCGTTTTCTAAGTCAATTTTGTTTAAGCTAGGTGAGCTCTCATCGACAGAGTGACCAGTGGGCTCCAACTCAGCAAAATTTACTGCATGTTGTCAAAAGGAAGCCTGAGATTTGTGTTGCACAAAAATTGTCTGTATTGTGCATTTCAAAACAGCTGATACATACACTTTTCATGTGGCAGTACTGGCAGTGAGCTAGAAAACAGGCTTGCATCACTTGAAGCATGGTACCCATCAGTTCCATGAGGTGTTTCCCATGCACCACTTCCAATCTTTCTGGATATATTCATCGATGGAGTAGTTAATGGACCTAGAAATATAAACATATCAACATGATAAGTAAAGGGTGTAACAAATATAACATGTCCATTGTTTTAATCAGATGGGAAACAGAAGGCACCTTCAGAATGACCTAATAATGAATTCTTTGAATTTTGCTCCATTTAGTCAATCACTGCAAGTCCAGTTAAAGTAAAATTACGAACAGTAAGCTAAAATAAGTTCTTTAATGTTTTCCGAGACATCAAAGAGCTATAAATAGAGACAAATCCAAATAAACAGCAGTAAGCACTGAATCTTGCACGAGCATTAAGACAGCACAAAGCTCCAATTATGGCACAAATGAAATCAGTTAATTTCCAAAGCCAAAGACGTTACCAAAGTAAGATCAATATTTTTTCTCTCTACCTATCCGGTTCGAAATCTTGACCAACCATTTGCAGATATAGTTCCATCATCAATTATTTATAAGTTATTCGTTACTCATCAACTGATTATTCTCTGTTGACCATAATTTGGTTGTTTTCTTTACTAAGATATAATCTTTTTTTTTTTTTCCGAAATAATACTAAGATATAATCTTTTGTCTAACTTATCCGTAAACACAAAGAAAATAGCAAGCTACTGCTCAAGATCAGACAGACCTCAGCTCTGAAACTTAATCAGCAAGAAATCTAAACTCTATCAGACATAAATTAGATTAATTAACCGATAATTATCAACCATAATATACTAAATTTAGAAATGGCAAACCAAGAACACAAAAAAGAAACTAAAAAAAAAAAAAATCAACTCAACAACTAAAATTAGGGGGTGACTGAAGGATCAAAACCCGTACGAAATGTCACCCAAAGGCAAAATCAAAACCGAACAAAACATAAATTTAGCAGCTAGAAGTCCTGAAAAAGTCAACAGAAATTATAAACGCATAGGTTCTTGATACAATTAAAACCCAAAAACTCAACATTCCATAATCAACTACAAGAAACAAAAGAAGTTTAAAAGAATCAAACTAATCATTCTACACTTTAAAGAACCGAAACCCAGAAACGAAAGAAGCATAAATCAAACACCCAGTTAAAAAAAAAAAAAAGAAGAGAGAAAGGTAAGATACCTTTAGAGAAGGAGAAGGGGTGGTTAAAGAAGAGCCCATTAAGAGAGGAAAAATTGGGGATTTAAAATAAAGCTTTTGTCTTTGATCAAAGTCGTATTTATACAGCAGTAAGTAGATAGATGGGTAGAGAGAGAGAAAAGAGAGAAGTGAGAGAGTTTCGTAGAAGTAGAGATATTTCTTTCTTATACTCTTCTACTTCCTCCTCTCTCGCCGGAAAAATAGAGACAGAAACTAAAGAAAACCCGAAAAGAGTAAATTAAAAATTCACAGATGACGAACTGAGAAAGAGAGAGCGAGGGGAGGGGGAGAAAAAACAGAGAAGGAGGCAGAGAGAAAATGATTGGAGGGAAGCAAATTATTATTGACAGAAAATTTCACAGAAAAATTTCTCTCTCTCTCTCTCTCTCTCTGTTCAAGACTGCTGCTACTCCATTTCCATTTTCTCTCTCTAAGAATTAAATAATTATTAAATTAAAAATAATAAATAATAAATAATAATTCGGAAACCAGCAAAATTCCGTTCTATTTGAATTCTATTTGGCGTCCGTGGACGCAACCACGACACAACAGTACAACGTTAAGACCCATCTCTCCCTGGTTCGGTTTCCTTTTTTTAAAAAAAAAAAAAAATTTAAATTTTAAAAATTATTAATCCTACCTACAAATTTACCAAACTAGACTCCAACTTTCTTTTTATTTACGTTCCACTGCCATTACTTTTCTTTTGTCTAAATCTCGAAGACTTACGTCTATCCTAAACCAGTCGGATTTATACACGTGGCGGATAAGTTTAAGATTTACCGCACCTGATAATTTCCTGTTTCGCTAGTGCGCGCGGGGACATGACGTGGCAATGTTAAAGCCGTGAACGATTCGACTCCTCCGATGTGGGATCCCTCGTGGTACAATTTTAGCCGACAGATTTCTGCCACGTCATCCGTCCGGCGCAATATTTATTTTATTGTAATAACTTTAATATTTATTGCAACGAAAATTTTTATTATATTTTATTTAAAAATAAGTAAAATAAAAATTAATTATTAGTTTAATGTTGTTAATTTAATTATTATTTTAAAATATCAACGGGCCCTACCGGGGAAAATCATAGAGTTAAAGTGAACGCAATTATAACAGCCAAAATAAATTATGAGTGGATATAGTATCTATATATGTGAATATACTGTTTATAATTGTTTGATTCACGTACCGTATAATAATTAATATGGAATTAAGGGGTACAAAAATAAATTGGGAAATTATTATTGCCACTTTGACTTTTATAATTTTATCCCAAATAATAATAATAATAATATAATTTTAAATTAAAGTGAAAATAATTTAAATCTAATAATAATAAATGTATTTGATAATTTTATATATACTTATAATTTAAATAATAGAATTAAATTCAGTGGTCATGGATAAGCCAAACCGCGTACTAATTTACAAAATATAAAGTTGAAATTTTGTATGTATTTGATTTAAAAAAATTATAAATTAAATGAGATGAAAACCATGAAACGGTGCCGTTTTGGCAGTCTCTTCGACGCTCTTAATTGTGGATAAGGTGGTAAGCTTTCATGGGGAAGAGAAAGTAAGAGGCGCGTGTCTTGTACACTTGTGAGTTGGATCCACCGACGAGAGGAGGGTCCCACTCTAACGTGTCCACGTGGTATATACTTTTTTTTAAATTTTTTATTTTTTCCAGCTGGCACCGTATCTATACAGTATATACGTATTGAAAAATACGAAGGGGTGTGCGAAGGGTATATCTGTAATTTCACATTCAAAACTCTCTTTTTGGCTTTTATTAACAACCGCACGTGCTGTAAACTCTTGATTTAATGCACTTTGGGTTTGCTCTCACTCTGGTTAGCGGCAAGCAAAAATAATTTAATTTATTAAATATTAGATTTAATGGTTGGTATATGGAATTTTTTTTAAAGAATTTGAACTTGAGTTATATATGTTTTTATTTGAAAATTATTTTTAATGTCTTATAATTTATATATATATATATATTATCTAATTAATAAATAAATTTATTGAAATAAAAAATATTTTAATAGGTCGTCGTTATTTTTTTAAATAAATTATTAACTTTAATTAAATAAAAAAAAAGCTTTATATTTGGTGAAATTGAGTTTCGAAATTTTAAATATAAATTTTTAATAAAAATTAAAAATACTTTTTAATATTTATATATTGTAATTTCTGACTTTAAACGTATCAATAGTAAATTTTAAATTTACCCGTTGTTAAAATACTTCATAGTCACTGAATACTACGACATCTCTAATTCTATTACTGAACATTTTAATATTAACAATGCAAGAAATGTGAGTGTTTCTTACAAGATATGTAAATTGTCATAAGCGATGGGTGCACGTTATCCACTTTGTTAACACTCACCATTTCAAATACGTATTGTCTCGAATAGATTTACAAATATCTTAATCACTTATTATTATCTCTTATATCCATATTAAATATAATACATTTTCAAATATGAAATTTTTTTTACGAGATACGCTTATTATCGATCTGTGTTATCTAACACTCAGCCTTCAATCTATGCATTAAGTTGATCTTCACCATCTTATTACGTGAATATTTTTTTTGAATTGTTTTATTTAATATTAAAATTTTAAACACTTATGATTTGACATATTTTTATTTTAAATTTTATACGTTTGTATATATTACTTCCTCACATGAAACATATAAGTAGGATAAGGTTGTTTTTTTTTTTTAAGTAAAGTTGACTAGTTGGATTTGGTTTTTAGCACGAAGTCAACTTTTGAGTTACGTATCTATTTTAGTATATTATATCTTATAATTTATAATTTAAATTTTACGATTCTATCCGTTTTAATAACAAAAACGATTAAAATTTTATGAGTAAATTAAATACATCATCAATTATTATAAATAATAAATTATATAATTCGAAAATTTTTATTACTCATTTGAATCGAGATAAAATTATATATAATGGAATATTTAAATATTTTATTTTGTTTAATTTTAATATACAATATGTAAATAATTTGTTCGTATTGTAAATAAATCAAATAATCATAAGTAGATTTTTAATTTTTATTTTAAGAATTTATGGGGTTATTATTATTATTTTTTTATTTTTGGTGAAGAAATGATTTTCTAAAGTGGCACGTGTGCCAAATCAGATGATCAGATGACACGTGTAAAGATTAAGGTGCTTGGAATATTTTGCGGTGGGGCTAATCAAATGGACACCCCACCGCAAATAACAAAAATAAATAAATAAATAAATAAATAAATAAATAAAAGGAATCCAGAACAGATGGAGAATCTTCCTAAAAGAATCTCTCTCTCCCAAAACTACCCTTCTTATTCCAACATAATTACCAATATGCCACTGCCTTCACCAACCGCGCTGACCGTATAAATACACAGTAGTGTATACGTATACATACGTTTATGTTTCTTCGTTTTGGGTAAGAAACGGCAGCGTTTCGTGATCTTATGTATATCTGTATATATACGCTGGCGCTAGATTGAAGCCATAAATCTCTCATTTATTTTTTTTTATAATTTATTTCGGTTTCAATTTTGTGTTCTCTTTTTCTCCTTGTTCCACTCTATCGAGTTTTCATCTTCAAATCTTGTTTTGTCGGTGTTCGGATCTTGCTGCGGTTCTGCAAGTTAAGGAGAGGAAGATGTTCCTGAGTTAGATTTGGATGTTTTTGCGGCGAAGCTGTTCTTGTTTTTGTTTAATTGAATCATATAGTTTGTGGTATACGAGCAGGATTAGGGTGACTTGAGAAGACGTGAACCGAAAGAAATGCAAGAGCTGTTATCACTCAACTGTCAGAGCTTTCCCGTGCTTTATGGTGGTATTTGTTGTTAGTGTCGGTGATTTGGTGAATGAGGGTTTGAAGGAGGAAGAGGAGGAAAGGTGTATGAGGGATCTGGTTAGGGTTTTATGTTGCGTCAGGGATTCCAGGAAATGGATAAGGTGGGATTGCGGGCTTTTCATACGGAGCAAGGGTAGATGGGGCAAATGTGGTTGATTACTCTGCTAATTAAACCTACCAGCTTGAACTGACTGCTTTTGATAACTGAATTTTATATCTCATTTTCTTTTTGTTTCATTTTTTGTTGAGGAGATTTGGGGTTTTGTATTCCGCAGCCAAGAAAAGAAAAGATGCAGCAAGATCACCGAAAGAAGGTGTGGTTGATCTTTTCTTGATTACCTTCTTCTTCAGACCCTCCTCGTGTTCTAAACTTTATGGTTATCCTTCCGGTGTTTGTAAACTTAAATTTTATGTTAATGGTCATGGATTTGTATGAACTTTGTTTTTGTCAATCAGCTCATGACTTTTCATGTTTGATGATTCTATTTTTGATTGAGTATCTTCGCTGGACAAGCAGCACTCATGGTGGATTGGTCTCTATTTATTTTCGTTTTCTGAGAGATGATCTAGATTTTTTTTCCTCAAAAAGTGATTATTTGATCCATCTATAACGATGCGAATTTGTTGTTTTGGATGAATAGCTTTTCAGGGTTTTATTCTTTTTCTGGAATGCTATACCTTGAATTACCTGCTTTTGCTCATTCCTGACCTCATTTTATGCTATTTTTATTCATTATCGTCCGTTCATTTGCTCTGTCGTTGAATCAGATTCTGCGTTATAAAGTTCTTTTAGTTCACACATGATATTGATATATATTCTTTTGTTTTGAACCACGTCGGGCTTTCTGCTGTTCTCTTCATTTGCTTAAGAAAACTACCTCTCCTATTTCCATGTTATTTTTACTGTGGAAAAATTGATATTTCTCTTTCCAGTGATTGAATTTTGATTCTTTACATGCATTCTGAGACTTGGATGAGTAGGGAATTGTGAGTAACTATTCTAACATTATACTCATTTCTTCTGTAAGGAAGTTAAAAAGGTTATTAGAAGATCATCTAATGTAATTTTCTTGAAATTCCATTCTCTCTCTCTCTGCCTTTCCCATTTGTTCCTAATTTGAAGACAGATTGATAATGTTGTTGTAATTTTTCATTTAATGGGATAGGAAAACCTTAAAGGTTTTTTATTAAAAGGAAAACCTTAGAGGTCTTCCATCAAAGGAAGAACCTTAAGAGTTTTAAATCGCTTAATCTAACTGAGACCTTGTACCATATATGTGTTTTTTTTGGGCTTAAGTTTTTTCACTTTCTGCGCTAAAAATCTTTTAGTGGTAGCCTGATCCCTTTTAATGCTGTTTGAGATAAAATTTTTAATACAATCCCAGATATCTAAAATTGGTTGTAAGTTCATAAAATTTTATGAAGATCTGGAAGCACTCCGTGTTGTTTCTTGTTTAAAAGATAAGCTTTATCCTAAACTGTAATACTGCAGTCTAGACATCAAACAGTCGGATATTTCTTTACTTAGATTCCTGTTTGTAAGTGGAGCATTTATTTGTTATACAATATACTCTTGTAACATGCTACATTGTGGTACTATTGAATATATATGAGAAATAGTTGATCATTGAATATGTTTTGATAAAGTATGCCAAGGCTTTTACTAGAAAAACATCTTCAAACTTTCCACAGCTTATTAGTGAATATTCGTACTCTCTGCTGGGTCTCATCTCTCCATGTTTTGCTTTCTTTCTTTCTGTGCTTTGCCTTGTTAGCATGGCATAGTGCACTTGATCCAAGTACTTGTGTCATTTTTCATCCAAAGTTGGCTTACGAAAACACATAGGCAATACATTTTACACTTGTGTTTCCATAAGCATGTTTGTCGTGAGCAAGTGCTAGCACTCCCATATAAATTTTTCTTTTTTTATGCCACAGAATTCTGCGGAGATGGAGTTTTTTTCGGAATATGGTGACGCCAATAGATATAAAATCCAGGAAGTTATTGGGAAAGGCAGTTATGGTGTTGTTTGCTCAGCTATTGATACTCACACTGGGGAAAAAGTGGCAATAAAGAAAATACATGATATTTTTGAGCATATCTCTGATGCTGCACGTATTCTTCGTGAGATAAAGCTTCTTAGACTTTTGCGGCATCCTGACATTGTTGAGATTAAGCACATTATGCTTCCACCTTCAAGAAGGGACTTCAAAGATATTTATGTTGTTTTTGAGCTGATGGAGTCAGATCTTCACCAAGTCATCAAAGTAAATGATGACTTGACACGAGAGCACTATCAGTTTTTTCTATACCAGCTACTTCGTGCATTAAAGTATATTCACACAGGTACTCTTTGTCTTCAAACCTTTTTTCCCCCCTCCATTTCTCCTCGATTTTGGTTTTGAATAAATCATATTTTCACCTTTAATGATTTAGTCATTTTCAAAAGATAACTCTTTGGTTCATTTTGAGATAGATGACTGTCTTTGGTTTTTTATTTTAGGCAAAGGGAGTAATGACTAAATCATTAAAGGTTTGGACAAAAATATCATGTATTTTCTTTATTGCCTTTTTTTCCCTGCTATGAGTATCAATAGCTGAGCAAACAACGCCATAACTTTTTGGTGCTCTATAATATACTTTTATACTTTTTAATTCGAAAAAGGTTTTTTCTATACCAGCTACTTCGTGCATTAAAGTATATTCACATCGGTACTCTTTGTCTTTGGACCTTTCTTCCCCCCTTCAATTTCTCCTTGATTTTGGCTTTGGATAAATCATATTTTCACCTTTAATGATTTAGTCATTTTCAAAACATAACTTTTGGTTCATTTTGTGACAGATGACTGTCTTTGGATTTTTATATTAGACAAAGGGAGTAATCTTATTATTTCAGTTGTCTGCATCAATGATTGATTGTCAAGATGAGTAAAGAAAAAGAGAATTTGTTTTGAACTTTGTCCATAAAAGATATTTTAAAGCAAAGCAAGACTTCCACCTCATTAAGCTAAGTAAGTTAACTTGTCGTCTAATCTTTGTGCTAGTTAATAATCAGAAAATAAATAACATGGTTCTGTTTTGAAATAGGCTTAACCATGAGGGATGAAACTGTGTTTTTGCCTGTTGGCTCTTTATAATTCCCGTTTGAATGTGAAGTTATCCAACCATTCTATAATCAGAAATGAAACACACAACTGCAGAAAAATGTCAACATCACCATTGTTAGGCTGGTTTACAATCTAACTTTTGCCCACTCCTTCAGATGTGCCTTCTAATTGTTTTCTTGTTGAGTTTTTGCCATCTCTAACTAATTGAGTTTGCCAGCAATCTGTGTTTGGTCAATCTTCTTTGCTGTTTCATTATGTCTAGCAACCACTCCTCTTTTAATGTGCTTGCTCCTTGAAATCAGGGTGCTGTTTCCAGCTTTAATTTAAAGATTACTTTCATGTTTCCTCATGCATGCTGGAGTTTCAAATATTGTGGGATGCATCTAATAGATATTTGCTTTGCTGCAGCAAATGTCTACCACCGAGATCTGAAGCCAAAAAATATACTGGCAAATGCAAATTGTAAACTTAAAATATGTGACTTTGGATTAGCAAGGGTTGCATTTAGTGATACACCCACAACGATATTTTGGACGGTATGTTCTAAGTTCTAGTCTAATGAATGATGAGTATCTTATTTTTTCTTTTTTTTTGGGGCTTCTTTTTTTCAATCTTTTGAACTGTCAATATAATTTTTCTCTATCAATCATTGTTTAATTGGAGTTCGTTCTTACTAGATTTTGTTTGAATATTTACAGGACTATGTTGCTACGAGATGGTATAGAGCTCCAGAGCTCTGTGGATCATTCTATTCTAAGGTATGGTTCTGCTAAAATTCCTCTGCATCTTTATGGTTCCTTTGGTGTTGAATACTTCTCCTGTGCTTGTGTTACTTGTCTTTTTGGATCTATGCTGTATGGCAATCATTCGGTTTCTAGTTATTGTTTTCTTCCTAGTAGAGAGCAAACTATTTGGAGGAAACTATGTTTTTCTAATTTAGTGGACATGTTTTCTGGTTGAAGTTTTAATTTGATTTTATCTCTGGGAGATGAAGTCAGTATGGTGTTTCTAGAGATACCATAGTACACTTTTATTTAAAAAAAATGGTGCTCCTAGAGATGCTTTTATTTTATTTATTCAGTTAACATGTTCATCAATTCTTTTCGCGATATTAAGATAGGAGCATTTGTTCTACATCTTTGTCTTGTTGAGAAGAAGATATATTTCCATGATGCTTATTGATCTCTGGGATGTTTTGTTTTTAAATTGAAAAGTAGCAAAAATGATTTCAATGAAGGCGATAGGATAATCAGTGAAATTGTATTGAAATGAAAGTACGATAATTTGTGGAGGTATTTCGATTTGCAGTATACACCTGCAATTGACATTTGGAGTATAGGCTGCATCTTTGCTGAGGTGTTAACAGGGAAGCCGCTTTTTCCTGGAAAAAATGTCGTGCACCAGCTGGATTTGATGACTGATCTGCTTGGGACACCTTCACTAGATACCATCTCTCGGGTAAACACTTACGTACTTTCTTGTGGATGCGTCACAGCTATTTCTACATGTTAAAAATTGAAAAAAGGATGAAATACATAGAATTCTAGTGACAATTGTCTCTTTTTTCTTCTCTTTATAGGTTCGAAATGAGAAGGCGAGGAGGTACTTAACTAGCATGAGGAAAAAACAGCCTGTGCCATTTGAACAAAAATTTCCAAATGCAGATCCTTTGGCTCTACGATTGTTGGAGAAGTTGCTTGCCTTTGATCCAAAAGACCGGCCAACTGCTGAAGAGGTTCATCTCAATTTTTTCAATTACTTGTTCATCAGACTTTTGCCGATTTGCTATCTGTAAAATTTTGCGTATCTTTCTTTGACTGCTGCTTCCATGATTCATGGATTTAATTTGTTCTGGCCTATCATCAGGCACTTGCTGATCCTTACTTTAAGGGGCTTGCGAAAGTTGAGAGGGAGCCTTCCTGTCAACCAATTACAAAAATGGAGTTTGAGTTTGAGAGAAGAAGAGTCACAAAAGAGGACATAAGGGAGTTAATTTTCCGGGAGATATTGGAATACCATCCTCAGCTTCTTAAAGATTACTTAAATGGATCTGAAAGGACTAATTTTCTTTATCCAAGGTTCTAACTTTTACCATAATGTTTCTGTAGTTAAAATCATCTACTTTAATTTGAATCTTTTTGCATCTCGTATAATTTTTGAAGCATACTTTGTATGCAGTGCTGTTGATAAATTCAGAAAGCAGTTTGCACATCTTGAGGAAAATGGTGGTAAAATTGGGCCAGTGATCCCACTTGACAGAAAACATGCTTCTCTTCCTAGGTAGCTATTTTTAATAAGTGTCTGCGGTCTCATCCTCATTTCACTTTGCTTTTTATATATTAGTAGCATTCAACTTTCTTTTATACTTTATTAGCTTCCAACTCTGACATCTCTTGATAGTTACAAGTACTTGGGAACACTTTCCATGACTATTAGCTTTCATTATGTCTCGGCAAATTAAGACTAAAGTGAGATGTCATGATATGAGAAATGAATTAGGCGAACAATTCTAAAATTTCTGCAACTTTTATGAGCATCAAGTAAGGACATATTGGAAAATAAATAGATTTTGATATGTAAGATGGAGTAAGTGTTGTTTATTTTTGCAGGTCAACACTAGTACATTCAACTACAATTGCCCTGAGAGAGCAGCCGAATGCTGTTTCCTTCAGAGACCGGCAGGCTACAGATGATGTGTATAATAAGAATCCCCGAGAAAATGATGGGGTTCTACAGGGAACCTTGCTGGCGCCGCAAAGAATACCCTTGGGTAAACTCTCTCTCTTAGCAAAAATTCTCCTCTTTCTGGTGAAAAGAAAGAGGAAATTTATGCAATTATATAAACCTGAAAGCAACTTGTCTTTTCCTTCAGGCAAACCAGGTAAGGTCGTAGGGCCGGTTGTACCATATGAAAATGGAGGCATTATGAGAGACACCTATGATCCAAGATCATTCATTAGGAGTGCTGTTGTTCCTTCTCAAGCTGTTCCTTCTGCTTACTGTTACCGCAAGTCCGTAATTGGGAAGCAAGAAAGATCAACGGCGGAGCCTGAGAGGGACGTATCCTCACAAGCAAAACAAGTTACTCAATGCGGAATGGCTACAAAATTTTCCCCCGACGTAGCTATAAACATCGACTCCAATCCATTTTTCACGACGAGGGCGGGAGTAAACAAGGTTGAAAATGTCGACGACAGAATTGTGATAGACACCAACTTGTTACAGGCAAAAGCTCAATACGGTGGGATTGGTATGGCTGGCGCAGCAAGCGTGGCTGCACACAGGAAAGTCGGGACTGTTCAATACGGCATGACGAGGATGTATTATGTAATAATGCTCGTCCCCGTGGTGGCTGAGGAGTGAAGTTTGAGATCTGGCAGGATGATGTTGTATAGAAAGAGTCCCTTCAAATATATATATATACATATTGATGTATATATTCCATCAGTATATGGTAGGCAAGTACTCTTGATTGATTGAAAACAGAGTTTTAGATTTTAATTTGGTTCAAAACTAAAAATGGTTTGATAATTACTGTTGCTTTAAGGAAAGTTATAATTATATACTAGTAAAAAATAAATTTTTTATTAATTTTTATTAAAATTTAACGAATTTATTATATTTTTAATAAAAATAATTAACATTTAGTCTAAATAATATTATAATTTATAAATTGTAATTTATTAAATTTAAAATATAATTGACATATTTTTTATTTTATTTAAATTCAAATGAAAATTCTGAATTTAGGAAAGAGTAAAACGTGTTTACTACTACAAGTGAATAGAAAAATTAAAATACAATTGTAACCGAAATATTAAATTTCTCTTTCCTTTTTTTAATCCTATAATTGTATTGGGATTATTTTATTTAATTTTATCATAAAAATTACTCTCTATTTTAATATTTTATTAATTAAATTGTACAAATTTTGATTAATACAATTATTTGAAAATAAAATAATATTATAATATGAACTCATTAAATTTTAATAATTAAAAAGAAATATTTTTGTAATAAAATGATCTAAAATATATTTTTGAGAAAAGAAAATATTTTTGTGAATTATCCTAATCCCAGTAAGATGTCCGAGCCGCAATTGCAGCACGTGCAAAGCACTTGTTCCTTGCAAAGCTGGATCATTCTCCACCGTCCGTTCCTCACAAATTCCTTCCCTTCGTCTAATCTCCGCCATCAACAAACCCTAGAAGAATCTGATTCACGTAACAAAGCTGCTCCTTTCCATTTCTCTCTTTCCTGAACACCTTTGTTATCTGTTCCAATTTTCTCAAAGAAAACAAAAGGTTCTAACTCTTTCCCTGAAGATCTCCGAATTCTGATTTCTGAATTCTGATTTCTCGGTCGCTTTTCGAAGTTACTGGAGAAAATTTCACTACCTCAATTCAGGGAGTGCTGTCCGTTAATGCCTTTTCTCTTTTTTTGATTAAGCTCCAATTCTTGTTTGTGCTTGTGTAGGATCGGTGGAAATGGCAGATGGAACGATCGTCAATGGTGGAATTAATGATGAGGCGGGGGAGGATTTCTACGATCCCGATCAAGGCGAGAGCATCAGGGGCGGTAAGGTGATGGAATTGAATCGCAAGATCGAACAACTGGAGAGCGAGAAGGTGGAACTTGTGCGACAGAACCAAGAGTCCGAGGAGAGGATGGAGAAGCTCACCGGCGAAATGGAAAAATTGAGAAGCGACGAAGAGGTGATGAAGCGGGGTCTGGAAGAGATGAGGAGCGAGATCGAACAGTCGGACGAGGAAAAGAAGCTGTTCGATACCTTTGTGGCAAGGAATCTGGAGCTCGAGACGGAGGTCTCGAGGCTACAGCACGAGTTGATCACCTCCATGACAGACAGTGACGAAGCCAACGCCGAGATAGTGGAGTTAAAGAATCTTTTGGCTGAAAAAGGAGCGCAGGCGGAGGAATTGGAGAAGGAACTGGAGAATTTGAAGAAAGAGAAGGCTGAGAGCGAAAAGAAAGAGAGGGAATTAGAGAGGAAAATTGGAGTTTTAGAGGTGAAGGGAACGGAGGAAAGGAGCAAGAAACTGAGGGTGGAAGAGGAGATGAGGGAGAGGATTGACGAGAAGGAGACGGAGATTAGTGCGCTTAAGAAGAAGGTTGACGATTTGGTGTCGGAGTTGGCGAAGCGCGGGGTGGAGTTGGAGAATTGGAAGTCTGAGAAGAAGAGAACGGAGGAAGCATTGAATGAATCTGAGGAGAGGGTGAGGACAATGGAGTTGAAGATCATTCAGATACAGATGAGGCGAGGGAGGCCGAGAAGGTGATTGGTGGGTTGAAAGAGAGGAGTGTTGAGGCCATCAACGGAATTCCCGCAGACAACATTGATGGGGGGCGAAAGGGATCAGAGTTGCAGTGGCCATTGGTGGCCGCTGGCTCTACTGGAGCTATTGCACTAGCGAGTGCTCTCTTGTATGTTTACTACAGGAGGCGTAGCTGATTGCAAGGTGGAGATAGAGGATTAAGTAGAGGTTAGCTTTTATCAGTTGCAAACAGCTTTCCAAATTTTGATAGGGGGAATTGTTTTTCTTGAATTTACTTTTGAGTCTATGGATAGAGATTTACTCTAATTTTTGGCCTGGTTTGTTTTTGATTGTTGGCTGATATCTTTTTCTTATTGGGTTTTGGAGAAAAGTAAATCTCACGAACTGCGTATAGTTTGAAGAAATTATGATAGTTTTGCTTATTTCAGTTGTTAGAGATGACTTTGTTATTCTATATGTGTTGAACTTAAATTGCAACCGGAGCTTGCAAGTGTTGTCTTCCTCGTAAGAATATGGATATGCTTGATTGGAGTTAGTTTAGTAGATTCGTCAGTTGTGTACTTCTTAGAAGATTGATTTATGAGGGCGCAATGTGGAGTAGCTTACATAATCCTCGATTAGGTTATCTCATTGTTAGAAGGATGATGCCTTTGCGCTCTGTAGGCTATGTTTTTGTGGAACCCATTTGGAAGTTCATAAAAAAAACAAGACTCAGAGACTAGGAAAATTTCATTGCAGAAGTAGATTTTTAAATGAATTCCACCAAAATAACTCATTCCAAATGTAGCCTTAGTAAATGAGGCTCAGTTGTGATTGATTTCTGGAGGTTGATTTCGTACGATTGACCATTGATGAGTTTCGTAATCCCGGGTTACTGTCGGAAGAGGCTGTTTTCTAGGGACCATTTTGCAGATGATGAGCTGTAGTAAGAAATTTTTAGTGGAAGATGTGAAGTAATGAGTGGGTTGAACGTCTACCAACTTGTAGGTCTCTTTGCAAAATGGATGTCATCCGTAGAAGGTGAAGTTCCCTGTGTTCAGTTGCTTTTGTTGGTACAATACATTATGATCCTGTATGTTGTCCTCGTTTTCATGTTGTAGAAATTGGTTATGTCTCAGCGTGTCTTTTTTACCTTGTTATATTGAAGGTCAATATTTCAAGCCATATACTGTAGCTACCGACTGCTACACTTGTTATTAGAAATTTAGAAATGGACCTTTTATGAGGTGAAGTAATGTTGTTATGGTATTGTCTACTTTCTTCACACTTCTGTGCGGGGCTGCGGCCATACTGGGTTGTGGTAACTCGGCAATATTCTTGCTTGGCTGCTGTTTCGGTGTTACCGGAATCTTTGGCATTCAATATAAGGAAAGTACACCTCTGTTTTGTCATGTGCTTATTTCTCTTTGAAGAAAGATTTCTCAACTCTCTTGCGAGCATTAATCCATTACTAGCATTTAACTAAAGCTGTAAATTTTTACTGTGACTATTCCGATTAAAGGAATTTGATCGATACGAATTAGAAATTTTTGCTGAGATTTAGTTTAATGTATGGTTTAATTGTATATATTTATCCCTTAATCTATGGTTTCACTTTCTTTTTAATAGCTTCATATTGAGCTTTGTACTGCTGGAATGCATGCTCTTCTGAAATCCCTTCAGGAGATAACTGTATCATTAACTCTTCTCATGGTTACCTGTGGCTGTTCGTTGAGTCTGGAAATTTTGATCGAACTTAATTAGAATATATTATTTAAATTATATACAGTTTTCACTGTTTTTTTTTTAAATTAAAATAAATATATTTATGAATGAATCAATTTATATATCTATATATTTTAATATGATAACATGTAATATTTATATATTTATCTTTATAATATAAAAATAATTTAAACTATATTAAAATAAAATTATAAATGTGAAAAATAAAATTTGAGTATGATTATATTTTTATGTAATTTATTTTTTATTTGGTTGCAAATTTTAGAATTATACATTATATAAATTGTTGACCACACATTTTTTTTCCTTTACATTTTATTTATTCTGCATATTTTTTTTTTAAAAAATTAAGGTATGATAATTGTTTGATATTATAATTTTTATTATAATTTTTTTTTTAATTTTTATATAATTTTGTTCATATAAATAATGTTTGTATTATGTTTATATAATTGTAAAATCTGTAAAGAAAATATTTGTTAATCAAGAATATTACATTAAAATTATTAATTTTAAAGCATAAATTATGTATATTTAGTATGTTAATATATATATATATATATTATAGTGAGAGTGGATAAACATGTAATCAAATTGTAGTCCAAGTAAAAATTAAAATTTATTTTATATTTTCAAACTAAAATAGATAGCTATAATATATTTCTAAATTGATTCTAGTTTTTATATTTAAAATTATATAGTGTATAATTTATTAATTAATTATAAATTAAAATTTATTTATATATTTTAAAAATTTAAATAGAAGAGTATTATATTAAATTATCACATTAGCTTTAAAAAAAAAGTGTGTTTATTTTAACATAACGTGAGACATGATATTTTTGGTAAGGTGAAGGAAGTTTTATTATATTATTTTAAAATAATTATATAGTTTTGGATTAAAATATATATGGTCAAGTTTTAGTTTATTTGTTGTAAAGAACATCATATATTGCGAAACTTTATTCATTGTAGATATTTTAATTAAAAAATGTAATAAATTTATTAGTATTAAGTGTAATTTAATTGTTATAATTATACTAATATATTAATAAATTAAGTAAATAAAATAATCTTTTAAAGTAATTAAAAATATATAATACAATTCGATTTAAATGTAAAAATTTATGGGATTTTTCTTTAGAAATTTCCATAAAATTAAGTTTACATTATGCAATTTATTATTATAATTATATGTTTCAATAAGAATTATGTAATGGATGAATTCTTATTAACATATAGACTGGATGCATATATGTATATGTGTAGATATATACGTCTATATGATGATTTTGTTTGTATTTGTACAAATATTTTTTGGTGCTTGAGGAAGTTTGTTTATACAAGAATGGATTATTCAAAAGAATGATGAAAAGAAAGAAGAAAAAGGAGGGGGTGGGAGAATGCAATCCACTTCATCATCTGTCTTCCCCTTGGCCACCTGGTTTTACCCTATCCCCATCAACTTCCTTCATCATACCCTTCACTCCCACCATTCCCATGTAAGTTTCAGGAAACCCACCGTTGATTTCCGCTGTTTTTCTCTCCACACCACCCACCATTACAGCACCTTGCAACGACACCAAACCCTAACCAACAAAACCAACGCCTCTCACCCATTTCAGGACTCTCCGCTCTTCTATCAATTCCACTCTCCCTTTAGCTCCAGTAACATCACCAACCAAAACCCAGAACCTCAAGACGAAGAACAAGAGGAATTTGAACGTCAGAGTGCGGAGACCCAGGGGGTACTTTTCACAAACATGTGGTGGGTAGATTTGAAAGCGGCTCTGGGGCAGAGAATCAATGTTGAAGGTGTTGTTTCTTCGGTTTCTGTGTTTGTTAAAGATCGTCACTTGGTGCTACCACACGTTATCGTGCCTGATATTAGGTATATTGATTGGGGTGAGCTCAAGAAGAGGGGTTTCAAGGGTGTTGTGTTTGACAAGGATAATACCATCACGGCTCCTTATTCTTTGACGCTGTGGCCGCCTCTGAGCTCTTCGTTAAAGCGGTGTAAAGCGGTATTTGGGCATGATATTGCTGTGTTTAGTAATTCTGCTGGTAATTTTGCTTCTGGTTCACTTATTGAATGTTGGTGATGTTTTTGCTGATAATTCGTTTATGGGTCTCATGGTTTGGTGAATTAGGTCTTTCGGAATATGATCATGATGATTCGAAAGCGAGGGCGTTGGAGGGGGCAATTGGAATTAAAGTCATTAGGCATAGTAAGTTTTAGTTTTTCAGTAAAACTCTAGGCTTTGTTTCCTTATTTTCCCGGAAGGTGATCCCTCGAACTTTCATATTTGAAGTGGGTAAAGCAAAGCTTTAATCACCCAAAGCAAGCAAGAGGGTTGGCTTTGTTTCATTGCACATCTTTGTATGTTAGCTGATTTTGTTGGTTTAACCTACAAGGTTGAGATAGCCAAATTTGCTTGATCGATATGTTAGCATGAAATCAAGTTGATTTCTGTCAAAGATGTTTTGCCTATCTAGGATTGATGTAGTTATCTACATTAACAATATCAGGAGTGAAGAAACCAGCTGGGACGGCTGAAGAGGTTGAAAAACACTTTGGCTGTGCATCCTCACACCTAATCATGGTATGTAACTGTTGTGCGATAATGAAAAAAATAACAAGCTAATCAAATGTGACGGTCAATGTGAACTACTACAAAGGAGGGATCGATCCGTGTCAGTGTAGAAGAATCTCTTTCAGACTCTAACTAATATATCCTAATCTTGCTAAGTGCCAAAAAACTCACGAACTAACCAATCTCATAAAGTAGCCGCATCTGGGTTTCAGATGGTAAAACACATAAAATAAATAAATATACATGTTTATGTAAGGGCTGCAGGGAAAAAAGATCTAAAATATACTGTAGCACAACGCAAGAGTGAAGCCCATGCGTCTCAAAACCTTATTATCGTCTTTACTGGAACATAAGAATATGTAAAAGCTAATAAAATCTGGTCTTATTTTATAAAATCCACAAATATGGTTTTCTGGCAGGTGGGTGATCGACCCTTCACTGATATTGTTTATGGAAATCGAAATGGGTTTTTGACAATATTAACCGAGCCATTGAGTCTTGCAGAGGAGCCATTCCTCGTCAAGCAGGTTGGTCTTTCTTTCATATATATATATATATTTATATCTTCTCTTATATTGAATAAAGGTAACTAAAGTGACACTCTGGGTCAAAATGAATAATTTAGTGGCTTATGCTTCATTTAGTTGCAATATGAGCTTTCCATAAATTTATACTAGTAGCACGTCCTTTCCTTTCTTATCTTAACTACTATTGGCATAGATTTATAAACTTTGCTTTATCTAGCTTTTAAAATTTTATATAGCAGTTTTATTTTAGTAAGTGAACATAAGATATGTGCTTCTTCGAAGAAATGACGCAAAGCAGTCAATTTTGGTTGCCTTTGACATCAAAGTGATGTATAGTAATATAGAACATTTGTTAGTTATCTGGCGTGAAATTTTAAAAAGGTTTATCTAGCTTGGGAGAAGATCTATGGGCAATTTTAAGATCTTGGTACTGGGATTTGGTCATAGCGAAACATATTCACCAAGAAATCCTGCAGCAAGTGCTCTTTCCACTTATATTTCAAAAGAAAAAAAATCCCGCAGCAAGTGCAAAGCTTGCTTTTTGCTTTTTTGGCCTTGACGGGCTATGGTTAGAGCTTGTTGGGGGGAACCGTCGATTTTTAGAGAGTACTTTAATTCTGTGTTAATTTGTTGAATTCTTTAGTTATCTGTTGAAATAAATTTTTATAACGCACTCTCTCTCTTCCAAATCTTCTTCTTGGATTGGCCTGGTTATGCCTTTCAATCTCTAAATGAAGTTTCTGGTCGTAGCACATAAATCTTTGACATGGTTCCAGAAGGAGAGGTGTTGAGATGTCTTGTGTATAACTAAGAACAGATTCTTTTGTGTTTGGGCCTATTAGCCCAAGGAATAGATCTTTTTGCTTATTGTGGAAGATTTTAATGCATACAGATTCTAAAGAAAAGTTAAGAGGGCCTAGACTAGAGCTATTGCAAACACCCAATTTACATGATTTGATATATAGGAAGGGGATTTGTTCTCTCGCATAAATGGATATTCCAGGGTGCTGGAAGGATGCTTTTCTGGATGTGCTGTGAAAGATATTACCACATCTTGATATATAAAATATGGTTGCTGTCGGAGTTAGTTTCTTGAGAAAAGTGTTACTGAATTTTAGATATTCAAGATGCCGCAGTTAGATAAAAGCCTTGGTGGAAACCAAAGATGCATTTACTGTCTTTCGCAAAAGTTTCTGAGACTTGCTACTCAATAATCTTTGTTTGTGGCATTTCGTTTGAATTTTTAGTTTCTGCTGCTTCCTTTTAATATTTCACTTTTATGATGCAAAAACTAAATGTGTTCAGGTGAGAAAACTTGAAATGTGCCTTGTGAACCTCTGGTTTAGAAGAGGTCTGAAGCCAACCAGTCACAACCTGCTACCAGATGTTGCGCAATGTGTTAAAGATCCACCACCTCCGTAAGAAATATTTATGATGCCTGCAAAAGCAATTGCTCATGTAGGTGCCAACAAATTTTGGTGTATAAATTGATTGTTTATACTTATAATTTTATAAATTTCTGCATTCTTCTACTTTTCTTTTGGTTTCGGTATAATTGGGAAGTTTGGGTGGGAAAGATTTTTGCATTATGTTATCAATATTTTTCAGGCAGGGAAGGTCTTCCGTTTTCAGGTTTCTCATGGGGATAGAGTTTTTAATTTTTGGGTTAAGGGCCACAGCCCTTGTTGAAATTTTTGTTTTTTTAGATAGAAAAAATAAGTATTATTGAGAAGAAGAAGAGCACATTACAAAGAAAACAGCAGATAAGGTATCAGCTGAAGCAAAGGAAAAAAGAACAGGAATAAAACAGAAAGTAGCAAATAGGTAGCACAGAAAAGACAACTGATCATGTGACTATTATATCCCTGCTCCTATAGAGAACAGTAAGGGGAGTGTCCGAATATTCCCGTGAGTCTTTGATGTGGAACCCAAGGATTAAAGGTTACATCCAGAACTCCACATATACATTTAGCATAGATAACTCAAAATTCTAAACAAATCCTCCTTACCT